AGAGATAACATTGCTCCAGGCAAATGTGAAGTACAAAGGGAGGGAACATGTTTGCATCTTGAGGTTGATAATTAAATGGTCAAGGAATACCTTACTTCTTTAAACGAGTTCAGGTCTCTAAGACCAGGTGAACTGCATCCAAGAACACTGAAGTAACTGGCTGAAGAACTCTCAGAATCTCTGTCTATTATATTCCTGAAATGATGGAGAAATGCCAGATGATTGGAGGAGGGCTAAGGTTGCCCCTATCTTCAGAAAGGGGGAAAGAGAGGAACCTGGGAACTGCAAACAAATCAACCTGACATCAATCCCAGGGAAAATTCTAGAGCAAATTATAAACCAATCACTTGGCAAGCACATTGGAAAGAATGCAGTAATAACCAGACACCAACATGGATTAGTCAAGGATGAATCCTGCCAGACTAATCTTATCTCATTTTTTGATCAGGGTAACCTCACTGCAAGTTGGTTGGAATGCTGTAGATGTGATTGTGGCAGAATCCCCACATCATGCCTGTCCATCATGGGGAGCTGAAGGGCAGGAGCCTATGAGAGAACAGGGGGAGGTGGAACCAAAAGGACAGTTAGACAGTTGGTTAGAGAGGAGAGTTGGAGAAAAGAGGTTTGGAGATAGGGAATTGAAGAGAGAGTTAGGAGACTGAATTGAGAAAGTTAAGATGGAATGCTAGAAAGAATAGGAAAGAGTTCAAAAGTATAGAGAATAAATAGTCAAAGAATATTGTAACAGTGAATAAATACACATATAAACCAATGTGAAAGCAAATGATATTTAATGAATGATCATAAACATCCATGATTTTCTCCTGTGATTTGCATAACATCTATAATATCAATAAATCTGTTGTATTGGCAGCACATGTCTAAGATCTATCTATTTGGTATTGAGTGAATAATACCTGGTGGCAGCGTGAAATAAGGAAATGCATCCAGCGGATGGACTTGGGTTTAGGGAACATGAACCAAGGACACAGGGTGGACTCGACAGTGATATATCTTTAATTCAGCAAAGTTTTTTTACGAAGTAATCCATGATATTCTGATTAGCAAATTAACTAGGGGTGGGGTGGATAGAACAGCTGCCAGGTAGATCCATAGTTAGTTACAAAATTCTACTCAGAGAGTACTTAGCAGTGGCTCCTTCTCATATTGGGAGGACATAAGAAGTGTGGTCCTGGGCCCAGTGCTCTTCAACATTTTTATTAATGACGTGGATGAGGGGGTATAGAAAATGCTAATTGAATTTATAGATGACACAAATGGGCTGGAATATCTAATACACTGGAAGGCAGAACTAAAATTTCAAAAGAACTTGATAGGTTTGAGAATAAGGCTGAAAACAACAGAATGAAATTTAATAAGGATAGGTGCAATATTCTACACCCAGGAAAAAGAAACGAAGTGCAGTTACAAAATGCTTGATTCAGTAATAATGCAAGTGAGATGGATCTTGAAATTATTGTAGATCATAAGCTAAATATAAGCCAACAGTGTGATGCAGCAGCAAAGAAGGGGAATTCTCCAAATCCCAAGAAATACTGGTTCTCTGCTATTTGGCACTTGTTAGGCCACACATTGAGTGGCCTAACCAGTGCCAAATGGCAGAGAACCATTGATGTATGGTGTCCAGAATTTAACCATGTTCAGTTCTGGACACCATACATTAAGAAAGATGCCAACAAACTGGAACAAGTTCAGAGCAGGGCAGCAAGGATGATCAGGTGGCTGGAAACCAAGCATTATGAGGAAAGACTAAAAGAACTGGGTATATTCAGCCTTGAGAAAAGAAGATTGAGGGGAAACATGATAGCACTCTTCAAATACTTGACAGATTATCATACAGAGGAGGGGCAAAATCTGTCTTTGATCTTCTCAAGAGTAGAAAACATGTCGTAATGGGCTCAAGTTATAGGAAGGCAGATTTCGGTTGAACATCAGGAAAAACTTCCTAATAGTTGTAGTACTTCAATGCTCCAATGCTGACAGCACTGAACAGAAAGTTAGATAACCATCTATCAGATAAAGTATACAGTACTGTAGTTTGATTTGGATTTCTTCATTGATCAAGGGTTGAACCCAATGGCTATATAGGCACCTTCCATCTCTTTTATTCTATTATTCTATACAAGCAAAGAAACTTTCAAAATATCTAGCATAAAGAGTAGCTGAAAGATAGCTGAATCTTTTAGAAAAACTGGGCTAAATAATTCAAGCTAAACCTTTTTCTTCATTCAGTGGTTTAAAATTTCAACATCTGCTACCACTGCAACATTCCATCTGTGCACGGTTACTGCCTACTAGTAATAGAGAGGAAGAACAACAATGTCTCCTACTATTGCAGGTTGCACTTGACTTTGACAAATTTTCTTGCTCACTCAAACTGATCCCACCATCAGGCCTCTTCGTGCTAGCTCAGTAACAGCAATACTGGGGATGAGGTGGAGAAGGAATGCAAACTGCAGATCCTAGAGCCATGTTACAAATTAGAATTGCACTAGAAACATGCAGTGTGATGAAGAGGAGACATGAAACTTGGAACTTGGTTGGAGCAGCCTGGTTGGGAAGAACAGAGTAAAACAACTCTTTATCCTGAAAAAAATGTGTTCTTGGTTTGCTTTTCCCCTCCTACGGGAAGTCTGATATCTTCACAGCATCACTGGTTTCATGGTTTCCTGGGTTGATAGCAAGAGGCCCTCTGAATCATCACGGAAGGTCTGACAGAGGAACCCTGCAGGAAAGCTATTGTTTATGCATTCAATAATAAATCTGGGTGTCATAGTGAGAAATAACTGTAAGAAAGAGAGAGTATGCATTAAAGAGGGAAACAGGATGAAGATGCCATATCAAAAGTAAGTTGTGTCATGATCAATGGGACTTGTTCCCAGGGAAGAATCAACATGAAGAATCACATGACTACAATTTTTTAAAGGAAGAAAAAGAACCTTACTGGGAAAGACGCACATTTGAACTCTGCTTCAAACAGCAAAAAGTCTCAGACACACAAAAATGATAGCATGAATGGAACAGGACCCTATGCCACCATTTGTTACTCTGTAAAATATGATGAAAAAATGATGATTCACCATCATCATCATTACCGCCACACTTACACTACTGCCTTTTCCTGGCACCTTTAAGCATCTGTTTAAGAACTTTCAGATTTTAAGTATGTTATGGAAACCATATTGATAAATGTTTCTTAAAAAACAACATTCAGTTTTACAGGTCTTGTAGCTCTTGTTATTTTGAAATGTCCAGCAGATGGAACTTTTAAAACAGAGATTACACAATTTAAAAACTAGAAAGCTATGTTCAAGGGATGCATCCAGTTTACATCAATTTTGTTCAAATCACTGAGGGGATACAGCTTCCCCTAAGGGCACAAATTGGCCCATGATCCATTCTTAAGTCACCCATCCTATCCTCTTCCCCATCTTGTTCATTTAAACAGTGTTAAAGATAGATATCCTTGCTAACAGTTTCCCTCTTTCTACTAGATGGAAAGTGCCTAGCTTTTTTTTACTGCTGCCTTCCCATCCCATTTCTCTTTATTTCAAACAACATACCGTGTTTCCCCGAAAATGAGACAGGGTTTTATATTAATTTATATTATATTAATTTTTGCTCCAAAAACGCATTAGGGCTTATTTTGGGGGTGTTTTTTTCATGTACAACAATCTATGTTTATTCAAATACAGTCATGTCATCTTCTGGTTGCTGCACAATGGTGAAGGGTGGGCTTTCACTTAACTAGGGCTTATTTTGGGGGTAGGGCTTATATTACGAGCATCCTGAAAAATCATACTATGGCTTATTTTCAGATAAGATCTTATTTTGGGGAAACAGGGTATATCTATCAACTTGCAATTACTGCTTTTCTTTTTTTCAGAAAACGTAAAAAACTTCACTATTCAAAAGATCTTTTAATTGTGATTGCATTAGAATTTATAAAGGACAGAGGATTCATAGAGGACTATATTATTTTAAGTACATGGAAATTAACTGTATAGCAATTAAACATTACTTGTTCATACTTATGCCTGAAGTTGATACAGAAATCCTGATCCTTTAAATCAATTACTGGCCCAAATCCTGTTTTGCAGCTCTGCCTGCTCAACCAAAATGACATTATCATCACCAGCAGGCTCCTGCTGATTAAATACTTCCTATCTTGATTACAGGGTGTGGATTGCTTGTACACAATAGATGGAAATCATAAGCACTCTGAAAAAGAAAGTCTACAGATAGCGGCAATCTGTTGTTGATAATGACATCATTCCTCTTGGATTTGGACCAAATAAAATTACCCTGTTTCCCCAAAAATAAGACCTAAGCTGAAAATAAGCCCTAGTATGATTTTTCAGGATGCTTATAATATAAGCCAGAACTGAGTAAAGTATGGCCCGAGGGCAACAAACGGCCCGCGAGCCGCTCCTGTCCGGCCTGCAGACAGTTTTGAACATCAAAACCATTTATAGCTTTTTGTCTAAAGTTGATCAGTTGCTTATCTTTAACATATCACAAAAAACCTCTTTAGTATTTGTGAAAATTAACAAGTTTAAAATAAAAAACAAATAACATCACTGTTTCATTTTATTTTTAAGTAAAGTTGGTTCTGCCCCCAAACACAGTTCTGTGGCCCCCCTACAGAAATTACTTGCCCATCCCTGATATAAGCCCTATCCCCAAAATAAGTCCAAGTTAAGTAAAACCCCACCCTCCACCATTCTGCAGCAACAAGAATAAGACATGACTATATTTGAATAAATGTAGATTGTTGTACATGAAAAAATAAAACAGCCTCTGAAAATAAGCCGTAATGCATTTTTGGAGAAAAAATGAATATAAGACCCCTGTGTTTCGGGGAAACACGGTAGATATAAACATAGGTAAACAAAAATGCAAATCAAACACACAAGAAAGTGTCTGCTTTACTTCAGATGTATTATGATTTTGATTTAATTTTATACTGTTTTCCTTACCCAAGAGTAGGGATTTCTTCCTCATTTACTATATCTGGCAGCAGAACATGGTGTTTTGCGATTAAGAATCGGTCAATTACTGATTCCCTAGCCTAAAAAAAGATCACAATCTGAATTTGAAACAATTAAATCCACATACTAACAAGATAACCAAGTGTAGTTACTACTTTTGCTAAATTTTTGTAAATGAAAATTTATTAGAAATACTACTTTTGCTAATGTGGTACTTCTGATAATTTTTCATTTGGTTTTCAACAAGCCAAATAAAGGACTGTAGGCTTTACTGACATAAAAATTAATAGCAAATTTCTTACTTTTCATTAAATGTATTAGTTATACAACCTTTTATAACTCTGTCATATGTCCCCAGTAAAAGGTATGGCAACTTTTAACTAATCTTAAGCACTGTTTCAAAGATTTCCTATATTGCCCATTATATTAAAACTATTAGCCTACGTCTCTCCCAGAGGTTGATCTAGGCAGAGTACATATATAATCTTTTTATCATTTATTCATTACTTACTCATTACTTATTTGACCTTTCCTCAAATAAGCTCAAAGTTGCACAAATAGTTTTTCTCACTCCTCACAACAGACACAGAATGCCCATAGTTACCACAGTGAGTGTCATGGCTGCATGGGTATTTGAAATCTGGATATCTGAGTCCTAGTTCAGCACTATAACCAGTTACACTGCATTAGCTCCACAATCACTTTTAAAACTGAATAACAGAAAATGAAATAATTGAAAAAAACAACATGCCAAATTCACCAAAATAGCACAGGTTTCACACCAAAGCAAATATCTCTTTCAGAAGAATGATTTTCCTGAAGACTCTAATGGGGGAGGAAATAGTTAAATTCTTCCTCCCCATCTGCTCTCATCCCACCTAATGCAACTTGCACTTTAAAAACATTACATAGTATATGCAAAACTGCAGCCAGTTATCTAGTTTGTTCCTTAGTCTACCAGTATTCTAATCACCAGAGCACAGAATGCTGTCCTCTCTGAAGATGCCGGCCACAGAGACTGGCAAAACATTAGGAAGAACAACCTTCAGAACATGGCCAAAGAGCCCGAAAAACTCACAACAACCATTCTAATTTTGTTTCTTACCTTTTGGAGGTATTTTGCAACTACAGTTCTGTGGCCATCCAGGTGATCTTTGGTATCAACTACATCCCTCTCATGTAATCTTTTCTCATAATCCTAGGAGAAGAGTTCAACAATTATGTGCCCTTTACCTGTTGTACTTTACTTGAGCTGCCCTTAAGCAAAGAAGTGATATACAGTGGGGTCTCGACTTACGAACTTAACCCATATTGGAAGGTGGTTCGTAGGTCGAAAAGTTCATAGGTCGAATCTGCATTTCCCATAGGAATGCACTGAAAACCATTTAATCTGTATCTGCTCTTTTCTGTCCATAGAAACTAATGGGAAGCTGCTATTCTGCCTTCTGCCACTAGAGGGGGATATTTTTCCTTTTTTTCCCTTAGGTTCAGGAAACGAGGAGGAAGGCAGGGAACAGTATGCAAAGCACTTTAGAAATCTTTTTTTTTCAACGAAGCCAATTTTAAATCATGTTTTAAAGCACGTTGTGCTGATTTTTTCAGCACAAAGACACACAGGCAGGCTTTTTAGGTGCTGAGCAAGCCTCCCCAAGCCTCTTCAGAGCCAGCCGATCAGCTGATAGGCGGGGAGAGGAGGGCGCAGGAGCGGGGGAAAAGCACAAAATGGCTGCCAGGCTCCCTTCTGGTGTGGGCTTTTAGCTGTTTCCTGCTCTTTTTCCTGCTCTTTGGGGCTACCAAGGCCTGGTAAGGAACTTTCTTTTATTTATTTTTACATTTCTGACCCTTTTTTTCCCCTCCAGAAACCTCTAAGGGGAGGGAGGGGGCACTTTTTTCCTGTTCGTAACTCGAGGGAAGTTCGTATGTTGAGTCCTTATTTCCCCTATAGGGCGTTCGTAAGTTGAATTGTTCGCAAGTAGGGTCGTTCATAAGTTGAGGCCCCACTGTATTAAAACACTATTGATAAATAATATATTTGAATTGTCATCCATCACCCTTTCATTACTCAAAAGAATGGGTGAAGTAATAAGCAGGGCAAAAAGGCAAGTATCTTTTAACTTACAAGGAAAACATGTGAGTTTCAGACAATACTTATGAGAGATGAATTAAGTATGAAAAATGTTTGCTAGAATCGTATTGCTGATTTACACTTGCTTAAGTTAAACTATGCAGGTCTTACGTATATATTATGTTATTACTGTATATAACAAAAATAAACAACAAAAAATAAAACAACAACACTTATTATGTTCCCCTTCCCCAAGACCAATGGAGATACAGTGGACCCTCGACTTACAGACGGCTCGACTTACAGACTTTTCGAGTTACAGACTTCTCTGGCCGCAAAATTTAGTTTTGACTTGCAGCCGGAGAATCGACTTACAGACCAGAAAAAAACCCGAAATGAAACAAAAATAGAATAAAAACTGCCAGTTATGGGATTAATCGTTTTTCAATACATTGTAGGTCAATGGAAATTCGACCTACAGACTTTTTGACTTGCAGCCACCATTCCAATACGGATTAATTCTGTAAGTAGAGGGTCCACTGTAATCTTGTCCTTCCTTTTCTGGAGCCCCATTCCCCTTCCAAAAATACATTGACTATTGCTAAGGTACACGTTCTTTTTCTTATTCTAATTTCACATGTTAATTTATGATTAAGAGCTATATTCCACACTTCTTTATACCATTCATTTAGCTGGAGATTGCACTTAACCTCCCAATTCTTTGCTATTATTAATTTAGCTGCTGTGACTAAATTTATAATCAATCATTTCTATGGTTGTTGTAGGTTTTCCGGGTTATCTGGCCATGTCCTTGAGGTTTTCATTCCTAATGTTTCACCAGTCTCTGTGGCCGGCATCTTCAGAGGACAGGAGTCAGAACTCTGTCTGTGCTCTGGTGCAGTTTTATGGTATAGTTGAGAATTTACAGCTGTGGGATTACCTTTTTTATCCTTTTCAGGAGATTCTTTTTTTATCCTTTTCAGGAGAAAAGAAAAAAAGCTGATCACAGAGCTATACTCAACTATCCAACAAACTGCACCAGAGCACAGAGAGAGCTCTGACTCCTGTCCTCTGAAGATGCTGGCTACAGAAACTGGTGAAAAATTAGGAATAAAAACCTTAAGAACACAGCCAAACAGCCCGGAAAACTCACAATCACCATACCAAGCATAGCTTTTTCAAATTTCTGCTTTTCAAAGTCAATCTGAGCTGCCCAGGAACCTGACTGGTGGAACATCCCGCCCAAATATTTATAATGAGTTATCTGTTCTAATATTCTCCCACCCATTGACCATTTATGAGTCTGAGGTCTTCTGTTGAAAACCATAATTTAGGATCTATTACAAGGTTTATAAGTCTTTCCCATAGTCATCCTCTTGGAATGGAATCAAAAGCAGCTTTGAGATGGATAAAGGCCTCATATAATTGTTCAGAGGATACTATAGTATATTTGTTAATTAGATTAACAAAAAAATGATCTGACATGGAGTGACCCTCCCTGAAACCAGTCTGTTCAGGAGATAGAAGAATATTTTCTATTACCCAGACTTCCAGTTTTAGGAGAAGATGTTGTGCATACAGTTTGCCTATGACATCAAGTAAACTTATAGGTCTATAATTAGCTGGGTCCTTTCACTCTCCTTTCTTAAAAATGGGCACAATTGAGGTCCATTCCTTTGGAATACTACCCTCCATATCTATACTGTATAGGGAAAAAGAGTTTCTAAAATTGGAGTCCATCACTCCAGAAAAGATTTAAGTAAATCAGGAGGGATAAAATTTCCCACAACAGGCTATGAAAGAATAGTCATGTGGGGTCTTGGTTTTTTTTAATTTTAATCTGTAAATAGCCCAGAGTTGTGCTTGCACTAAAGGAGTGATATATAAATCAAATACATTAATTAATTGAATACAATCTCCTTTTACAGCCATTCAGTCTTGACTGCAAGATTCACTACATTAAATAGTTGGATTATGTGCTTCCCCTTCATGAAGGAAATCCCAAATCTCTCATAGTCTGACAGCAATGTTCATAGTGTCCCAAACAGCAATACCAGCAGTTGTATTCTAGGGTCCAAGTCCCTCACCCCTGCAACAACAGGGCCAGCTTCTGCAACACTGTCCTGACAAGCATGGCAGGGGTCTGTCCTCCACAGACACCACCCAAGAGGAAGGACACGGTAGAAGCAGAGGTGTTCATGCAGCAGCCATGCAACCAAAAAGAGGTGAATTCCTTCTCTTATTTGGCTGAGAAGAGGTCTGTTTAAGGAGGTCTGGCCAAGGTGGCAGAACCACAGACTCATTGAATAATTGAGTTGGAAGGGGTTTATAAATCCATAGAGTCCAATCCCCGGTTCAATGTAAGAATCCAAATCAAAGTAGATCTGACAGATGGTTCTCCAATTTTCTCTTGAATGCCTCCAATAATGGAACGCTCACCACCTCTCTAGCTAATTGGTTCAATTGTCTGTCATACTGGTCTACGTTTTTCCTGATATGCAGCCTAAATCTGGCTTTCTGTCGCTTGAGTCAATTATTGTATGTCCTGGAGAAATATAGACGTCTTTTGGGAGAAGACCAAGCTAAAGTAGGAATTGACCACTTCTGCCTTCTCTTTGCCATCTCATATAATTTTCCCAAACCCATTGAGTAGCTTAGCCACTATTTCTTTGCTCTATTTTTTGTTACACACATACCCGAAGAATGCCTTTTTGTGCTTTCAGCTTCTCTTGCTCACCTTTTGCCTTTCTAATGTCATCATTGCAATTCTTTGCTATTTGACTGTATACTTCCTTTGTAGCCTGGCCTTCTATCCATTTTCTCTAAGTGTCCTTTTTGTTTTCAGATCCTCTCTGAGCTTTCTGTAAAGCCACATTGGTCTTTTTTGCTGAATTCCATCTTTTATTATTGTTGGAATTGTTTATAGTTGTGTCTTTAGAATGTCCTTTTTTAAAGAAATTCCCACCCATCTTGGACTCCTTTTCCTGTTACGGTTTCCTGCCATGGGACATTACCAATGATTGTATGACTGTTCTGAGTTTATTAAAATTGGCTTTTCGAAAGTTCAGCTACACTCTGCTTTCACTTCTTTTGAAATCACAAACTCAAGTAGAACATTGTCACTCCCCCATGGAGTTCCTCTTGCTACTACTTCTTCCATCAAGTCATCTCTATTGGTTAGGATCAAGTCCAGGATAGCTCCTCCTCTGGTTTCCTCTTCCACTTTTTGTAGGAGAAAATTATCAGCCATACAAACCAAGAATTCTTGGAAGGTCTATATTTGGCAAAATGTGTCTCCCAATATATCAAGATAATTGAAGCCTCACATTACTGCTAATCGTATTTCCTTGAAGTTCTTGCCATTTGTTTTTCAAAAGTTTTATCTGCATTATCTTCTCAACTGGGTGGTCAGTCTTTTTTTGCCCCAGTTATATAAATCCCAACATCCTACAATCAGAGAGAAAACTGATTTGAGCACACCTCATGGGGAGGTATCTCTAAGGCAGAGGTTTTAAACTCAATTTACCTGGGGGCTGCTAGAGGCAGAGTCTGAGTGAGGCTGGGCCGCATCAGATTTTCCGCCAAGTGGAGCAAGAGCCCGAGGAAGCGGCCCAGGAATTTCCTTAGCCAGCAGACAGGTGGGCTGGCTGGCAGGCTGCAGTTCTGGATGGAGGGTGCAAGAGGTGCTGTCTTGGGAGAGAGCCGGCGAGTGAGGCAAGGCTTTTTTTTTTACTCTTGACAGCAGAGGACGTGTGGATGCTTTGGGGGGGCAGGCAAGGCGTGGGCCACAAACTATCATCTGGGGGGCTGCAAATGGCCCCCGGGCCGCATGTTTGAGACCCCTGCTCTAAGGTATTTGATGTAGTCCAGACATTCACACATGACAGCACACTCTATGGTAGAGCTGCTGGTTTGGAAACCTAAAATGTTCATCCTTAATTGATAGCTGTAGTTTTTAGAAGGAGGCTCTAGAGCACTGGTTCTTAACCTTGGGTTACTCAGGAGTTTTGGACTGCAACTCCCAGAAGCCTTCACCACCTGCTGTGCTGACTGGGGTTTCTGGGAGTTGCAGTTCAAAAGCATCTGAGTAACAAAGGTTAAGAACCACTGCTCTAGAGGGATAGGGGTCCCCAAAGAAGCTTTTGGAATAGTCAATTGAATCTCTTAAATATCATTTGAGAAATGAAGCAGGGGATATTTCACAAGATGCTATAATTTTCCCATCCCCATTTAGTAGCTGAGCCACAGTTTCTTTTCTCTGTTTTTTGTTACAGACACCCAAATCCAAATTTTGGTACTCTTACATGCCCCTCTAAAACACTTCTCTGTATCAATTTTCTCCACAGCATGCTTAGCCTTATATACTTATATCATGTTCTCTGCTTCACCTTTTTTCCTCAGCTAATTTTTCATGTGGGATCCTCTAAATGTTCTAAAAGCAGGGTTCTATAAATAAGGGCTTTCTAAATAAGGGCTTTAGAATTCTATAGCAGTAATGTAGAACAAGGATATTTAAACCAAGAATGAAAAAAAAAAAAAACAGCAAACAGTTCAATTATCATGAATTTAGAGCAGCTTACCTGCAATGCTTTTTCACTGATTTCTCTTTCCAGTAAGGGAATACACTTACAACTTTGAAATTCAGTCACTTCTGTGTTTCTGAGTTGAAGCAGTCGGAATCTTTTGGATCTGTTAAGTTCTTCATCAGAAACAAAATTAAATTCTTCTTGTAATTGCTCGAGCCTGAAGAAACTGGGAACAGACGCATCGCCGCTTGTAGCAACCTAAACAAGTAAATACAATTTTAATAAAAAAGAAAAGAAGGAAAGGGGGGTTCTCAGGCTTAAGAAGTCACTGCCAACAGTTACCTGCTACTTCTGGATATGGCTTAGCCTCCATTCCCTCCTACCTGCTTAATCAAAATGAAAGAGAGGTACTGTGGATAAAGGACTTTAAGAGAAATAATGCCCCACATCACAGAAAAAACTGTGAACTCTTTTGTTATAAACCTATGTATTTTCGTGCTATTACAGATTATAAAATCTATTATTTGAAGAAGTGGTGTCAAAGTCTAGTTTACTTATACTTGCTTTTACTTAAGCAAAGTGTTTTGATCTTAGAATCACTACTAAGACACCAATCTGCAACCCATATACAATGGCTACATTTCCCTTAGTTCAATTAATATATGCCTCTGAAACATCTTAATATACTGTATATAACTTACTAGCACATGAAAAAACAACAAAAGACATAAGTTTGAGTATACAGTATCATACATACTGTCTTATACCACCTGCAAATCTGTGGCCATTCAACTATAAATAAAAATGTGATGCAATCAGCCAGTTACTGGGCAGAAAGGATTGAAAGAATACACAGTTTTGTTATTGTTGTTGTTGATTTAGCTATAGACACTACAAGAGTCCTCAATGAAGAATTACAGTCACTAGTGAGAACCCTTGCTTTCAGCTGAAAGTGCTTCCTCAGGTCTCTGTAACTGCATAAAATGTCTTACAGTGTCCATTTCAGAATCAAAGCCCAAACAAACGTAACAGGTGCTGATGGACTACATGAATGCTAAGAAAGATGCAATTCTTAAACCAGCTGTCATCCTAGTTTTGGGCAATTTGCACAATTTGTAAAATTGCATAAAATTGTACAATCTGCACACTTTTCCAGAAAGAAGGCAGTTAAAAGAAAACAACACCCTGTACTCACATCAACAAAAATGTTATATTAAAAGCACCAGAAAATTCTCTACTCTCCTTTCTAACAAGCAGAACAACACTGTGATAACAAGATAGGATAGAATGTATTTCCCTGTCAAGTAATCATCTTCGTTTTTAAAACTGTGGAAACAACTTGGCAAAACTAAAGTTTCAGTGTCATGTTTAATGGGTCTGTCTTACCATTATTAGCTGCATCAGGGCTGCATTGTTTGGGTCATTTGGATCAAGTTTTGTTTCAGCCACCCATTTGGCTAGTTTCTTCATGTCAGTTAACCCTGATGTGCCAATGGATGCAATGGCATCAATATTTTTTAAAGTACTGGAAATATAAAAAAAAAAAAACAGAAATTCAAAAAATTTGTTTTAAAATTCTGATTTTTGGGGGCCAAAAAAGTGGCACCTAACCTTGTACATGACACAGTTTTACAAAGCATTACAGTACATTGTACATTGAGGGTTTTATGACTACATCCAAAAAGTATAACATTAATGTGAAACATAATGTGTTATGGAACAAACTACACCATTCTCCAATCCTTCAGTCACTTCTTTCTCTTCTACTGGAGCTCTCTCCATTAGCACTCCATTAGGAATCAGTATAAACACTTCTATTAACAATTCTTCCATGACATATATATGGAATTTGCTCTCAGTTTATACTGGGCACCAGCCAGATGACTTCTTGTTGTTATTCTCTTACTAGTCACTTTGACTTTTGATGCAGGAAATCTAAAAAATGATGTTATATTGTATTCAAGCCCATCTCCTAGGTTCTATTTCCTGTACTTATCTTCCTGAATATTTTATCCAGAATGATCAGATATAACAAATTCGTATGTTGCATTTCAAATGAAGTGACTTGGATATTGTTACTTTCTCAGATTTGTTAGGCTTTCTTCTTCTCCCACATGAATTGAACACGCAATCCTAGGTAGCAACTAATGATCACATGAGAGAGAACATTTCAAAACATAAGCAACTGATTTGGTTTATTATTTTAGTTATTTTTATTACAGTGCTGCCTCGACTTACGAACATCCCAACATATGATTATTGCGAGTTATGACCAGCGCTGGCCATAAAATTTTGCTTTGACTTGTGGCTAGAGCTTCCAGTTACAACAGGGGAAAAAGGCAGGGAAGTCAAATCGCTAACCATTGGTAGCGAGGAGGCTGCATCTTTGTAGCTCTTTCGCCCCTCGGTTAGAGAGTGTGTGATCAGAGGAGGCTTCAGACTGCCTGGTAAGGTAAGGTGCTGCTTTCTACTTTTTAAAAACTGTTCTGGGTGGGTTTTGCAGTGTGGTTTTGGGCTGTGTGGTGGGATTATGTTTCTATGCTGTGATGGGTCTTGCAGGGTTTTTTTTTTTTGTTTTTTTCCCCATTTCCGATGGGTTTTGCGGGGTCTGTTTGCTTTTGGGTTCCCCCCATTTCTGATGGGTCTTGTGGGGTTTATTTGCTTTTGGGGGGGTTCCCCCCATTTCCGATGTGTCTTGCGGGTTTTGTTTGCTTTTTGGTTTGCTTTTTTTGCATTTCCGAAGGGTCTTGCACGGTTTGTTTGCTTTCTGTTTTTTTTTGTTTTGTTTTTTTTTTTTTGGATTTCTGATGGGTCTTGCATAGTTTGTTTGCTTTTCGCTTTTTTGCATTTCCGATGGGTCTTGCATGGTTTGCTTGCTTGGCTTTTTTTTTGTATCTCTAAAGGGTCTTGCATGGTTTGTTTGCTTTTCTTCCCCCCCCTTCAGCTGGAATGGATTAATCTTTTTTCCAATGGGTCTTGCATGCTTTGTTTGCTTTTTGCTTTGCAGTTTTTGCATTTCCGAAGGGTCTTGCATGATTTGTTTTCTTTTCTCCCCCCCCTTCGGCCGGAATGGATTAATTGCGTTTCCGATCAGTCTTGCAGTGTTCTCTTTTTTTGGTGATTTTTTTCCTTCGGCCAGAAAGGATTAATTTCATTTCAGTGCATTCCTGTGGGAAACGGTGCTTCAACTTATAACCATTTCGAGTTACGACCGGAGTTCTGGAACCAATTAAGTTTGTAAGTTGAGGCACCACTGTATTATTATTTAAAAACCCTCTGGCTTATGAATGTGGGTTATTCTGCTTCAAAATCTTTCATTTTCTTGGACCTTCTCTTTCTTTTTATCTTTAAGTTTACCAATTTTATAGGTTTAAAATGCTGCCAAGTTGATATCTATTGTTCTAAATCAATGTTATAACCATTAGTTTGTGTTTATTTTATCATATTTTTCACCACAAAATACCTTCTTAAATTTAACATTTATCTCCACATTCTAACCAATATTTTGTGCCCCTCTTATAATGCCATCTTTCATTTTCCATCTTATGTACCATGCATCCATTCTCAAGAGCTTCATCCACTCCATGTATCCACTCCTTTGTCCTATCTGCCACAGCATCTGTCCCATCATCTCAATTCTTCTCCATTTCACAGCAAAGTTCATAATAAAGTTCACCATTTGCTGCACTTCTACTGCTAACATCTCCATAACAGGGATTAACAATTTAGCTCCGTGTTTTTATCTGGTGTAGCCCATTAGGTATAATGTTTTGAATATTCTTGAGAAAGTCTTGTTGCCCCATGATCAGAGGTATTATGTGGATTTCTTTCCAGTAGATAGTAACCACAGTAGTTACTCACAATTGTAGCTTATGTAAGCTAGGCAAGCTTCCATGGGCATTTTGTGGAGGAGTCTGTTTTTTCTCTCTTTGTTCTCACTCATCACATGGCCTAGTGGGAGGGCCTAGTGATTTGAATTGGGGTTTAGCTGGAGCCTGCGCTCATTCTCCCTAGGAGCTTTTGGCTGGAAATGAAGGCTAGGTAAGCTTCCATGGGCATTTTGTGGAGGAGTCTGTTTTTCTCTCTCTTTGTTCTCACTCATCACATGGCCTAGTGGGAGGGCCTAGTGATTTGAATTGGGGTTTTGCTGGAGCCTGTGCTCATTCTCCCTAGGAGGTTTTGGCTGGAAATGAAGGCTGACCTTTGAATTGTGTACAAATACCACATACCTTTTTCCCTTTTTTTTTGAACTGTACCTACTTATACATATGTCTACAATAATCTCCAATTTTCTCTTCCTGATTTTCTTTACAGACAGGGCATTGCATGGCTGCTTCCCATGTGATATATGAACTCTGGCTTTTAGAGTTTCTATGAATATAATGTGAAATCTACAAGCACTCTTACCTAATGCAACAAAGACCAACCAAATATGGTGTAACAAATGAAATAATGGCCTTTATAGCAAAAATTGTATATTTCTTTCTATTACATAATTCATCAAATATATAATAAAATAAAGGTGCTCATCATGAAAGCAGTTTATTTATGCATCACAAAACTATAAAACATTTTCAAATACTTATTGAAGTTTGTTACCTTGAGATTCCAGAAGTTTTATGTGATACTGGAGGAATCAAGGGTATCCCATTTTCTTTATCTGCCCAGGAAACACTGCAAGACACCTTGCCAGAGGTCATTAAAATAATCTTATTGCTGCCATCAGCTTCAAATGAAAATGGTACACCTGGAGCAAGATATCAAACATAATAACACAAACCATGGTTTGTCATTATGTGCAAGTGTCAACAAAACCTTTGTCCCCTCTTTTAATCATGAGAGATGATAACCGACCGGCAGCAGCAAATAACAATTCTTTGCTGTGCCCAAACTCAGTAAATAATGGCTTACTCAAACAGAGGTTTGTTAATAAGTCAAGATGTCAAACAAGAATCATGTCAACCTGAGATCATACCAATGAAATCCAGAACACTGTGTAGAACTGAATGACAATTGTTTAACACATCAGAATGAGGATCACAAGGTGCTGAGATGGAGGACAGGGTTGTTTTATTTTATCCATTTTATCTCCACTTTTTCTCACAAATAAGAGTTTTTTCAACCTCATGTGCTGCCTTTAGTAGGTTTAGCTAGGAGAGAGCTTTGTGGGCTGGGGAGACTGTTATTCAATCCAGCATTTCCTTTCCTGCCTGATTTTAAAAGCCTCTGCTTAAGTGACTTTTTCTCCTTTTTAAGTCTGCTGGCAGTTAATACTGTTAGTGCACTTTGGAATACAGTCTGCAGGAGTCTGTTAAAGGCAGGCTGAGTCTGTTGAGGCCTGTTGCTATAAGCACTCATTTTTTAACAGTAGGTTGTTTGAGCAGAATCGCGAATAAATGGAACTTTTTTTTATTCTTCTGCTTACCAATGTCTCAAAGTAAGCAGTTAAGACTATAATTGCAAATTGATGAGAACAAAGGGTGGCCTACTCTGGGGAGACTTGAAGCCAATTCTGCTTTGTAAATCCTTGCACTTTTACGCATCTAGAAGAGTTTAGCCAAAATTCAAAACTCCATAACAGTTAAAGGGCCCAATCTCCAGTGACCAGAGAAACAGGCAGATTGCTAACAACAAGTGTTTTTCAGGCACTGTTGTTTTTCTAAGTGTTGTTTTTCTTCTTCTTCTCCCCTGTCTCCCAAAACACCTCATAACTGGCTGAAGAGAATTGTTTCTTTTCTAAGATTGCTAACCAAACTTGCTCAGAAAGAAAAGAAGAAAAATGGCTCTAGATCACAGAAACGAATTTTGGGCAAAATGTCAGAGTTTTGAATTTCTATCAGTGGTGAAAACAGGCCACAGAAATTTGACAGTGCATGTTTGTTTACAAAGACAAAAAAAAAAACAACAAAAGCAGCACAAGCCAGGGCTGAATGGAAACATGAGGGTCGTATAGGAAAAGTAATAATTTCATGTTGTTTCTCAGATAAACAGATGGTATACATTAAAGGCTGTGAAACTGCTAGAGATTCTAGAAGCATTTGAAAGATCTTATGTTTTTTCTAGCGCTAAGACAAAGTCAGTTTTTATTAGGGAACTGGTATGGTTTCATCTTGATAGCAAGCAAGATTGTGAAAAACACATTTCTGCTCTGTTAACAGTGTTCAACGATTTACATTTAACTGGCTTTGAACTGACTGGTAGACATAAAATGGGCATTCTCACAGCCTCACTAAGTGAATGCTTTGATGCTTTTTTGTCCAACTTGTACACTTCTTCCTTGGATTGCTTGGGTCTGACCAGTGGAGTTTTGGTTACACATGGATTTTTTTCTTCCTCCTCTTCCTCTTTCTCCCCCTCAAAAATATTCTATAATAGGTTTGGTTTCTCTTTTCCCCCCCCACACACACACACCTGTCCTGGCAGCTGGGCTTATTGGATTCGAGCAACAGACTGTTCAGGCATAGAATGAGAAATAACTCCACACAGCAATAATATACATGTCAGGACAATTAAAGCACCTTTGGAATGAAACTGACAAGCAGAGGGCAGCTGAGTAACTCATGGCCAAACACTATTGCATGGAAAGGAAGTAGGGGATGGGGGCAAGGAAGAACGAGATAGACAAAGGCAAGTTTTCTTTGTCTTTAAGAGACTCAGCTTCCAATGAGTTCTGAGAAAACCTGCATGCAAAGCAACCTCCAATGAAAAGTGCTAAGATTGACTGCCCAGAATTCCAGACAGACTTCAGATCCTGGCCCCAGCATTGGATTTCGAACTACGTAGGGCTCCGATACTCCTAAGCCCAGCACTGCTGAAAGGAAAGCGTAGACTAAACAGCTAAGTTTTCAGGAGTGTCTGTGTTCTGTCTGAGGGAAGAGTGCATAGACCAAAATGAGATCTCAACTGAAAGTGGCCCAAATTAGAAGCTGAGTAGGAAAGGAAATAGAAAACTGCTGGAGATGTGGAAAGATGGGTCACATGACAAATGAGTGTCCATTCCCAAAAGATTTCTTAACCAATAGAAGCACTAGTAGTTTTAAATAAAACAACAAAGACAGAAAATATGTAGAGTCTGACAAACAGAGAGACAAATGGAAAGGCTGGAACAGTATGTAAATGGAAAGTATGCACAGGCCATGATTGTGAACAGAAATCAAATTGCTGGATCATTGACTCAGGCTGGATCTTTGACTCAAATCAAAAAGATTTCTTTATAAATCTTGATGAGAGATCTAATGGAAATATTAAAGTTGCTAATGGTGATTCCATGAAAATTTAAGGTGAAGGGTTTGATATTCTGCAATGTAATCTGAGAGCCGCTCCAGTCCGGCCCACCCATTGCCACTCCTGTCTGGACCGCCCATCACCGCCGAGTGAGCCGGAGCTCCGGCTCATCACCCAGCATGGCAGTAAGCAAAACTTACGAGATTTGACGCTGGGATCTCGTAAGTTTTGACTGTTACTCTTGAGCCGCACACTGTAGAGCCTGTGGCTCAAGAGGCCGGAAGCGATCCTTGCACAGGTGATGTGATGATGCAGCACATCACCTGTGCGGGATAGAAGACAGTCGGAGAGGAAGGCTGTGGGGGAATGGAGAACAGGTGAGTTACCTCAGTGTCTGGGTTTCCCCACACACACACATGGTGAATGAATTACAACGCTCACATAGTTAACTCCCTTAAAAGTTTACGGAGATAAGGGAGGCGGGGCTTTGTTGCGGTGCTGCCAGCAACTCCAGAGAAGAGCTCTCTGGGGAAAACTGGAACCCTCCGGTTCGGGATCCCCCTTTTGAAATGGGGATCAAAGGAGAGTCTAGAAGAAGTCTCTCTGAAGCAGATGGTGAGCAGCAGAAGGAGAAGAAAGGGAGGCAGACCCAGACTTTTTTCTTCTGAAGAAATCACCATGCACGGACTGGAGCGGGCACCATTTTTTGGCACTGAGCCGCGAGGAACCCTTTACCGGGGGAGAGGAGAGCAACCAATATAAACTAATAATATATAACAAGTAAGTAAGCCGAAGCCTCTGATTTATGAAACAGCCTCATTAAGCTGAAATAAGAATGAAAATATTTGGCTGAAAGAATAAATGCAGCGGCGGGTTTATCTTATCAGTCTGACTCAAAAGCAAAACTAAGCTTCTCTAAGTGAACTCTTAAACACCAGGCTGATTCTAAAGCCGAGAGTCTGAGATGGAAAAATAAATCTTATGTTTCTGGAAAAGAATCCCAGACAGCAACACCGTCTGACTGGATTTAAGAGACTTCGGTGGATGCAGTGTGGCTGGGATACGTTACTCTTTGCCTTCTCTGGACTTTGTGAACTATAAATAATAGAATCTGGTGGTTTTCGGGAGAAGGAGCTGACGTGGCCGACTGGACTAAGGAGCATTAAGGGGTTAATGAAGATCACAAGACGAGCTCCAAGGACAATCTACTGGACAGTTTGAGACTCTGTGACTGTTGTTT